ATGATGTGTCATCAACATGTGTGACTGATTTACCTGATTGGATTTAATAGATAGAACTTTGCACAAACGTGCACCAGTTCCAGTTCCCACTCTTCGTGTACTACGCAAAGCAAGAGGAGAATAGAGCAAAGAGAGATATTAAATGGAAGTGTGAATGAGGGAAAAAGAATAGTAATGTGTAAGAACAATAGAGTAGACTTTCACTGGATATTGTAAATCACAAAGAGTGAATGTATCTACCCATCAATGAGCACGATTTTGAGCCATATCACCAATTGTTTCTAGCCTTCATTGATTTTTACCATCCCCAGGACCCTAAGGAATGAGTCAGGTAGTCTGCACCTCCCTACGTGACTGTCTGGCTTAAACTAACTGTTATGGATTTCATTGACTGAGAATGCCATGTTTTTTTGGTTCGATCAGCACCACCACTAACTGTTTTCGAATCTGATGAATCCTATGTCAGTCATCTTACATTTCCTGTTGTCGAGATAGGTGATGGCTAGGCTAAGCTAGGCAAGGCATGTACAACACATGTCCTGACCATCCCCATCGATTGATTTTACCTCCTTATTTAGTAGTCGACGGACGCTTAACCTGAATATTGCTGACCTTATTATACCACTTAATACGGGAGATGGAATGCAGATACCTGTCATCGAAGACAGCTAGCTAGTCAGGCTTTTCATGTCTTCCACTTTCAGTGGCCATTTATCACAGGCATAACGGAGAATGGAGCAAACTTCCGAGGAGTACATCCATCCTTTGGTTACCAGCTAGATATCACATCTGTTTGTGTATGTTCTAACTTTGGAGTCGTTAAGTAACATAAAGCAACTGTATTTTGATTTGACACTAGTAACTAGTGTGTTCGTGATAACTCATAACTTTTGTTACAATTAACAAACACGTTAATATAGAATAAATATACCAACTAATAAAAAGTTACTCCCATGTGACCAGAAAGTTTGAAAACCAAGTCAATAATAAAAATGATCAGTACATATGTAAAGATGGTTACCGGGAGACACAATACTATCACTCATGAAAAATTTAAATCAGTTCACTTTATGCTAGAAATTGCGTTGAAAGGGGATGTTGTCTGGAAGGTGGACAACGAAAGCTCCGCAACTAGACCAACCAGCTCAGAGAACACTATTAATTACAAATCCTCCACCTGAGCTACAAATCTTCTCTATTATTTTCAATAACTACATCTCAATCGATGTAACTTCATTAACTTTACCCTCGTTACTTACACCACTAACATTCTACGCCTAATAATCTAAGTGGTACACTCGCCGCATTTTATATACACCACATCATAATACACAACAAACAGAACGCAGATATCTGTGATTGAAGGACATCTAGCCTTTTTTCACCAATTACCTGGCGCCGGGTTCAGGGTGATCAAGAATGCTCTGACCCCGGGTGGAGGCTCACCATTGCACCTCGGTGGGTTGAAACTCGCGACGGACCCTAATCGGGTGCGCTCGGGCGTGTAGTTTTTGTCAGTGGGGAGGCCTCACGGTCCTCCCTTTAGTGCGTTGGTGGCACAGTGGTTAGGACTCTCGCCAACCATGCACATGGTCAGAGGTTCGATCCCCTGCCGACGCACACCTGATATCTATGGTCGGCCTGAGAAATTTGGGCTACCGATATCCACGCTGAAAATTCCATACTTGTACCAAAAATACAGTGTGGAATCAAGCTGTAATTAAAAATAAAAATAAAAAAAATAAATAAATAAAAATAAATAAAATAAAAATAAAAAAAATAAATTCTATATCCGAAAGGGATATATAGAATGAATCGTAGACTATTTATGATTGAATTTAAGATTTTCCCGTCTATTGATTGGACTGAAGTGCTCATTCGGTCTCAGGTTGACATGTTGTTGGCTTCTTGTGCAGATGCTTCTACGATGTCTGGGCATTTAATTAGTATTTAATTGGCGAATAGTGACTAGCAGTGGAATCTACCAGGATGCGCATTTCACCTGTGTCCTATTCGGGACTCACCAGCCAATTGGTGGATGTACCTGCATTTCCCAGTCAGTGAGTGATGATGTTCCCACCACTTAGGCTCAAACCCACTGACCATAGTTTCAAATGCCAAACGGGAAAATCTCAAATTCAATTAAATAATTAATATGACCCGTTGTACAAGGGGTGGTTCTCATCGCTCAAGTGGTCTTGTGGATGGTAACGCTTTGGCGTGTTTGAGCCTCGGTGGGAACATCATCACTCACTGAGAAATGCAGGTACATCCAGTAAGCTGACGAGTCCCAAATAGGACAGGTGAAATGCGCATCCTAGTAGATTTCACTGATAGTCACCATCCACGAAATTAAATTAGAATCGTAGACTAATTTAGTCGTTTCTTTCAGAAATGCTTTATGTTCTTTTTCTTTTATCTCTGCTGGATTGGTTTTTGAAGTGAAAAAACGAGAAGAAATAAATTTTTTGTTTGTGTGTTTGCTTGTGTGTGTGTGTGCGTGTGTGTGTGTGTGTGTGTGTGTGGATATAGTTTATATACACATGATTGATTTTACCTTGTTTTTGGGCACAATACTTAGTATTTATATGGATACATATCTGTCGTATGGGCTCCCTAGTGTGTATGTGCGCGTGTGTGTGACAGCGTACACAGTTTCCCGACATATACACACACACAGAGAAATTGGGTTTTTTGCTGTGGAATAAGTGCATTCACAGTGTCTTTTCTTCTTATCTATATACTATCTGTATTATTATTTGAATGAAGACTGTAACAAATTAATATTGCACTTGTATGAGCTTTAAAGTGTGTGTTTGTGTGTGTGTGTGTGGGTGGGTGTTTGTGTGTTTGGCGTTCACTAAAATCAATATTCTATCGTTTTTTCTTCGATTGAAAGCCTTGATTTCTTTTTTTTCTTTTCATTGTTATTTTATTTGCGTTTTCATTTTTTGTTCTACTTATTCATCCATTTCACGTGTTGCTATTAGTTTTGTTTTGTTTCTGTTTTACGGTTTTTAATCTCAGTGATTGACTTTTTATGATTTTTATGGTTGATTACGTATTTTAAAAGATATGCCGGAGGTTGGGTGGGGTGGGAAAAAGGCGGTTGGGTTGACATTTAGTCCTATTTGGGTTCTACCCACATTATCTGAAGGCCAGTGTCTGCAAAATACGGGATTGAAAACGTATTTCGGGTATCCTGTCTCTCTCTCTCTCCTGGTTTTATGTGTGTCCCTGTGGTGTACAGTGATGGTGGTGAGGTTCGGGATCGATTTTGTAGCTGACTCACTCCTAAATCTTGCTTAAGCTTACTAATGGTTGGATGTACTGTACTAACTGTAGTAGAGGAGCAAGATGAGGAAGGTGTAATGTGAGCCAAAGGAGGAATGATGCTTAGGAAGGCTTCGTGTGCTTTTGGAAGTGTTGATCTCTGATGAAATCTCAGATACACGGATACAGAGGGCTAGTTTCGTATATGCTAGTTTACGCTGTCTCTGGCTTAGTAGACGTGATATCCGGCTAGCTGGCTGTCGACCATAGGGTGGGTGTACTGCGCAGCAGTCCGCTCCATCCTCCTTCATGCCTGTGATCGAGACCTGGGCATTGAGAGTGGAAGACGTGAAAAAGTCTGGCTAGCTGTCTTCGATCATAGGTGTCTGCGTTCTATCTCCCGTGTGAATTGGTAGGTGTAATAAGGTGAGCAATATTGACGTTAGGCGTCGGTCTAGTGCCAGGTAGGTGGTGGGAGGGGAAACCAATGGACGAGGGTGTGAAATTACGTCGACTGAGACGGTTAGGACATGTGTTACGTATGCCTAACCTAGTCATCGCCTTCCTCGACAACAGGAAATGTTAGCTGACATGGGGTCAGACTGGAAAAGAGCTAGCGGTGGTAACACCGAAATGTGACTTCATCGGTCAATGAAATCCACAAGAGTTATTTTAAGTCAGCCAGTCAGTCACTTAGGAAGGCGTAGACTTCCTGACTGGTTGGGGTCCTCGAGATGGTAAAAAGCTCTGATTACCGTATCCACGTCATCCTTAGTATTATGCAACTTTTAATTTTATATGATTTTGACTGAATACTATCATGAATATTCTTATCGCTTGTATTACTTGCTTGCTTGCACGTTTGTTATCGTTGACCTTATTATCACTATTATTGCTGTTATTATTATTATCATCGTTGTTATTACTAATATGTTGACAACGTTTAACACTTAAAATTTTTGATCCACAAATTCACCGTCATTGGTGGTTAGAAGATTCTCAATTGTTGTTAATATGGTGGTTTGGAGAGGGATCGACAAGAAGCTTCTCTCTCGATCTAGGCTTGGTTCATAACTATAGCGAACCTGAAACCCCCTTCCTAATATTCAAACCTATGTCACCCAGTGTAACAGTCAGAAACATTACTACTGTTGGTTACAGATACGGCTTGCTGACTGTTGTCACTGATTGTCAAAATCTAGAGGATCAAGCAGGGTTTCCTTCCGACTGCCTCCAACTGTCTGACTAACTTGTTTCAACATAGAACTTTGCACCGACGTGCAACAGTTCAAGTCGCCACACTCCACTCCATGTAGCACACAAATCCAGAGAAGAAAGTAGAAGAAATACATAATAGAGACAGTAAACAGAGGTGTGAGATAAAGGAATAGTAATAACGAAGAACAATATACTGTGCTGATAACTGCTTTTAGTCTAATCGCTATCCTAACAACCTTCCTGGCATGGTAGGACCTGCAGGAACATTGGCTCCAGACAGTGTAGCTTGTTGGTGGGTCATCGCTATGTGCAAGTCCGGCGACCACCACGTTAAGGTAGCAGCTATCGGTCGGGCCTGAACCCCGTGTATACAAGAAGTTTGTTCAGTCACTAAATCTCTACAATGTGGACTTAATTTCTCGCAGCACCTTGATATGTTAATTTTGTTAACCCTAATTTCATCATTATTCCCTCCTCTCACCTTCCCGCTTCCTTTTCATTTATTCTAGAAAGTCGTAATCAAGCTCAAGAATATAAACTCAAGTATCATGAATCATCTCAGAGGATTTCAGCTCTGGAAAGTGATGTAAGTTTATCCATTCAAGTGTGTTCTTTCTTTATCATTGTTAAATAACGTATTATCCTTCATGTTGTATAAGTCTGATGTTCGATTACTCACACACGCACACACGGATAGTCACATTCCACAAGTATATCTAAGGTTCTGCTTACTTAGCATAATGTATCATGTGTGTGTGTGTGTGTGTGTGTGTGTGTGGGGCGTGCATTTCGATCAATACTGGTAGGATACTGACCACAGTCGCCATTTTCTTTTTCATCTGTGTGTACATGTGGTGAGATAGTGTTATTATTATTAATATGATTTTCAAGTATAGGTTTTGTAGGGATTTTGTTTGATTTCATGGAGGATTTCATCATAAGCTGACATTAGTTAGAGAACCACTGGAAAACCACCTGGGAGAGTACTGGACAGTTACTTTCGTTCTAGTTTGGGACTCTTCATCAGTACACACCCGCCTCACTGGGGTTCGAACCCCAGGACCTTCTGTTTACAAGGCCAGTGAGCTCGTAGACCTTTGAGCCACTGGGACCCGATCCAATTGTTCTTGAATTCTAAATTCTGCCAATTCGCGACATAGCACGACCAATGCGCAATATCTTTTTTCGATGAATTGCTGCCCCATTTTCGAATTGCTGTACCCTACTGGTTACGGCTTCCCACTAGGACCCTAGGTTAACTACCTGAATAGGGCCAGTCGCTAGCGAGCATCATATTGAATTTCAAGTATTGGTTTTGTAGGGATTTTGTTTGATTGGTTTGAGGATTTCATCATATAGAAAATCAAAACAAGTGGTGATTCAGCGAAGAGACTCTTTTCAACGAATTTGTCATCAAGCTGTACAGTCGTATATATATATATATATATATATATATATATATATATATAGTTTTTAATAAGTTATATCCGGTGAGGGAATTGAATCTTAGGTGTGAATGCATAAAATAATAATCATAATCATATGAAGTTCAATTAAAACTAGAATGTTTGTGATTATAATCGTAGTTAAATGTCAAGTGGCAAAGCAGATTAATGTCATATATAGAATAATTCATAGGAGGGATAGAACTTGAAAAAGGATGTGCAATTATAGGATTAGTAGGCAAATCGAATAAAACAAAAACGTTACGTAATATTGTGTGAAATTTAATAGCATAGAATTTATCGTTGTAAAAAGAATTGATTTAGAATGACAAGTGGAACAAGTAAAATAATACCGGGGACAGTTCAAAGTGAGAATAGTAATAATAACAATTGACTTAATAAGGAAGAGTATACAAATTGAATAGACAAAATGAAAAATTGGTAGAGCTAAAATATGATTGGGGATTATCATATTTTAGCATAGAGGGATTAAGACCATGAAAGTTGGAGGGGTTGAACGAAGTTTTTCTGTACACAGAGATCTGGCTTTTCTGTTTCGATAGCCAAAGCTTAAGCAATACAGATGAGTCGGGTACGTAGGGATTTGGGTAGATTGCTCTTTGCCTTGTAGATGACTTTAAAGGCGGAGGCTATAGAGATAGGGTGATCATTATCGACCAGATGTTCTATGATCGCGCTTCTTATTGCTCCACTTCCACCTTTTCGTAGCCATGCAGGATAATGTTCTTGCACCCTCTTGGACAAAACTCGAGTCGAACAACCGATATACCTAGCTCCACAAGAGCAGGTGAATTGATAAACGCACATAGAGTTGGTCAACATTGGGATCTTGTCCTTCAAGTTATTGAACAATAATGGTCGGCTAGTAAAAGCTATTCTCAGAGAGGCAGCAGGGAATGTTCTTTTCAGGGACTGTAATATCCTTCGTTTCATGATATTGAAAGCTAAGTCCCCTTTGAATTCTAAGCTCATTTCATCATAAGCTGACATCAGTTAGAGAACCATTGAAAGTTACTAGGGAATTATTGAATATCTGTTTTCTCGCACATCTTACGAACTCCCTAACGCTACGCATCTGTGACTTCATTGGGGATCGAAATGAACGCCTATCAGGTTATGACGTGAACTCCTCGGCCATTCAGCTTCTGAGACACGGAATCCAATCCAACCATGATTTCTAACTGATATTCATTCCCTGAAGTCCTACTGAAAAGTCGTGGTCAGTGAGTGGGTCCACCACGTCTGGGATATGAAAACACTGGTTAGCCGTAATGCCAGAAATCGTGGACCGACGATCGAAGTTAAAATTGATGCACCCACCGGATTCTATCCCAGTGGCCGAATGACCGACGAGCTGATCTATCTTGAAATCTAAAGGTTCTATGTTCGATTCCTGGTGATGTGTCATTGGTACGTTCTGGTTGGTAGTAGTTCCCAACAAGGATGAAATAAACTGTCCAGTACTTCGTGGTTTCCAGTGGTTGTCTAACTATTATCAGTCCATGGTCGCATTTTCGACCGTTGGATTGATTTCATTTTGTCACAGTTCCACTCTACGGCGAATAGGCATATAAGAGAACAGGGGTATATTCAGCTCAAAGAGTTAATCATCTCATCGATTTTGTTTTTGTTTTTTTGTCTTTGATTGATAATTGATATCGCATTTCATTGAACCCTAACAGACGGAATTTGAATCCGTCTTTTACACATATTTATTTCAAAGTTGACTGACACTGAATAATTGGTTTCATCGTAGTACTTTGCACCGATATGCAGAAATTTGAGTCGTCATACTTCATGTAGTACACAAAGCAAGAGAAGAAAGTAAAAAGAGAAATGCAAAATTGAGACAGTAAACAGAGAGATATGAGGCAAAAAGAATAGTATGGAATATGGAAGAACAATATAGTTTCATTGGGTATTATAAGTCAGAAGGAGTGGATGCATCTGCACCAGCCAGCCATTGACAACGAGTATTTTGAGCCATATTATCACCAATTGTCTCCAGACTTCATTGGTTTTTACCGTTCAATGACTATGACTGAAAGTTTGAGAGGACCTTCCTAGTTTTTGTATGCCAAAGATGTATGCCTTTGATGTGGTTGTGTCCTCTGACGTGGATAGTTAATTTGCGAAGCTTTCATCGCCACCTACTAGGCGATATCTTCACCTCAGTGCATACTTTAATTTGTTAAAGTGAGCTTTTAGACTTCTCCACGAGTTTATTAATCATCTCTCCAGGTGACCACCTTGAACGTGATTGGTTATTTTTGTGTATTTTCACACCTTCTAGGCAGCTACTTGTATTGGAAATGATTGTCTGTTTGACTCGAACTTTGACCCTTTATGTGTGATAAATTTTGTCTATCTCTATGTGTGTCTATTGATTGATGATTCACATGAATGTCAAGCTTCTAAAACGCTTGTATTAGATGATTGGAGGCAATCGGTCACAGGAAGCCTCGCCTGACCTAGGTTTTGTGCTAGTTGACACTCACCAGTCACCCAGACGTATCTACAACCTTGAAGCAACTCATGTCCCTTATGAGATTCGAACCCGCGTCACCTAGTGCATCAGTTAGTCAGGGACGTTACCACTGAGCTATTCGAGCTCGCGATTGACCTCCTGTTGGACTGTATTGGAAATTTTTGATTGCACACTAGTCAGTAACTAGTGGAATGTGTCTGTCTAGTCTTATCTTCGGTGCAGACTGAATTCTATCAGTCAGGCTTGGAAGCAATGTAGGACTAGAAACATTACATTAGTTACTGACTAGTGTGCAATCAAAAATATTCTAAAAAGCTCACTTCGTTAAATTGTGAAGTATGCGCTGAAGATGTCACCTAGTAGGTGGCGATGAAAGCTTCACAAATTAACTATTCAGCTCAGAGAAAACAAAACCACCTCAAAAATCATCCACCTGAGCTAAAAATCTTCTCTATCATATCTAAAGAAGTGTGTGCTCTACGTTTTTCAATCTCCCTTGGATATCGCTGAAAAAGCAAGGGTAACTCTTCACGCCTCTTCACGCCTCTTCTTCTTTTTATCTATACACACACACACATCAAGTCTGAATTTGATAAGTGTTGTGCATCACATTGTAAAATACATTAAAATCGAACTTTTTTTTAACCTCCATGTTGATAGTTGTTCACTCCTCTGTAGTGTTTATTTTCTTTACTGTTTCTCTGTAAAGAAACAGTCATTCATTTTTGTTTATTTCTCTTATGTGTTTCTATTTTTTTCTTTCTCTGTTATTGATTAAATGTGCGTGTATGTGTGTGCTTGTGTGCCACTGTGACAACTCAAGCAAGCCCACGTACGTGCTGCTATGCACACCCGCCCACCCACACACACACAGTCAATCAATCAATCAGTCATCTATACTCTGAGATAATACACTAGCAGGTATAGATTTGTGAGACGCTAGTGAGAACATGCGGCCGTATGTATGCCTGTTTGTACATGTTGCCTTTATGATGTGAACTATTTGCATATTGTGTGTGTGTGTATGTGTGCGGGTGCTATTACACCGCTCATGTTGTTTGTTCTATTGCAAGCTGCTCTTGTGTGTTTGTGGCGTTGTGGTGGGTCATTACAAGTTTAAACATTCAACTCACTGTGTCTATCGATTGGTTAAAAGGTTCGAATTCCTCTGTCTTCATAGAAAGTAGTAGAGGATTTTTGGGCAGCCAGCCATCCAGGCAGTAGGAGTAGTCACTAGTAGTGTGTGGCGTGTGCTACCGACAAAATTTATCAGTAGTATATAGTAGATGAAGATTGAAACCAATACTTTAAGTTAGTGCGTCTGTCTGTCTGGACTCAACATAGAACTTGGCACCGAAGTGCACCAGTTCGAGTTGCCACCTTCCAAATAGCCCACAAGGGTAGACAAAAAAATGAATGAAGAGAATCAATAGAGTTTGACAAGTATAAGAGTGAAACAGAATGGGTAATGGTAGAAAGGAATATGAATGATTACAGAGACTGAATACATCTGCGCCATTGACAACGATTTTGAGCCATGTGTCACCTATTGTCTCCAGCCATTGATTCTTAGAGTCCCGTGGGCCCCAACCCGGAAGTCTGCATCTCCCTACCTGACCGACTCAGTTTAAC